CAGTGTTCTGTGGCGAGTGGTAGCAGACGACACTTCGTCCCTCCTCCCCCAGCAAAACACACGAGATGGAATAGGAAAGACGAAAAGAAAACGTGTTTTGCGAACAAAAAGAAATATGGACAGAAAGAAATCAACCTCCCCCACGAGCTAGGAACGCTGATTTAGTTGGGATTGGTATAAACATCCCACTTCTATCTGCTTTCTCCTGTTCTCGCCTCTCCTTCTCTGCTGCCCGTGTGAAATGTTCACCGTCACCAACTCCATTTCCATCCTCAGCATCATCATCCGCTTCAGTTGCTAGATTGACAGTCTCTGGATCAGGACTGGTCTGGCCAGGCGTGGGGTCGTGCTCGATGATGTCTGGAACCCAGAATGTGGCGTCGTCGCTTGAATCTGCTTCCTGAACTTCGAGGATATTGTTGTCTGGTTCCCCCCGCCAGGGAGCTCTCATCGAATCCAGCTTTTCTGCCAATGGTTGGCCAGGTTGAAGCTCGACATCTTCTTCCCAGGGCATAGGCACCTCGGGTTCCCAAATGCCATCCATATTCCGCATGAACTTTTTGAGATTGGTAGCTGAATATGTGCCTTTTAGCAGAACTCCGTCTGTGGTCTTGAGCTCATAAGCATGTTTGTCTAGGACCTGAGCAATCAGGTATGGACCCTTCCACTTATAAGAGATCTTGGCATTGCGCGAGTGGCTCATTTTCCGGACGTGGTCATAGACAAGCACGAGATCTCCGACACTCAGTCGAGATTTTCGTACCAGACCCTGCGTTTGACTTTTGGCTGCGATCTTTTGACGGTATGCCTGAACAGCTTCAATTGCCTTCTGCACATCATCTTCCTTGGCTGCGATCATCCTCAACCGCATTTCAAACGCTTCCTGAGGGGATTGGTCTTCGGTCCATGTAAGAACTCTCCACGTCGGGATTTCAGTTTCAATTGGGATAAGCGGCTCCCAACCGAAAATCAAATAGAAGGGGCTGTATCCATGCGACTGGCGGATCGTAGTCCTTTCAGCGAAGAGTGCGAGTCTCAAGTACTGCCTCCATCTCCAGGGTTGAGCATCAGCTAGCTTAGCAAGGGCACTTGCTAAGGAAAGATGACCAGCTTCTACTTGTCCTTGGGCATGGGGATTGTAACTGGAGACCTGGACAAGCAGGATCCCAAGAGCTCTGATGGTCTTGGCCATCTCAGCCTTGTTTTCTGGTCCTCCGTCAACAGTAATTTTGAGAGGGCACCCGAACACAAGAATGATCTCTTCCAAAATGAACTTCCTCATTTCCGCAGCTGTAGCTTTCTTGAGGGGTCTTGCAAGCACATAGCCGGTCAGGTCACAGCGAGCCTCCGCAAGGTATCTGTAACCGCCATCCTCGGCCATGTGTTGAATGTCGATGCTGATCCTCGTGAAGGGTTGACTTGGAAGGGTCGGGATCACTCCTTCCTTCCACATCTTTGGATCGAACTTTGCACACTTCTCGCAACCCGAGACAGCATTGGCCACATCTGTCCAGAGACCTCTCCAGTAGTAGAGTTGCTTGACACGAGCTACCGTAGAGTCTCGACCTCGATGTCCAAACTTGGCATGACATTCTCTGATGATTCGGCGACGAAGATCAGGATCATCTACTACCCGTCGGCGTGGGAGTTTCGCACCAGCGCGGCGCCACAGAGCCTGGTCAAGTACTTGATGCTTTAATGCCTCTACCATGAAGTTCTTGCGATCCCTCTTGGAGAGTTTTGGTGGAATGATCCCGTGGCATAAGAACTCTGCATACCGTTTCGACTGTTCCGTCCACTGAAGAGTTGGATTTAGCAGTGGTACTAGGTCAGCTCCATCTGAGTTCACGCTGTTAAGCTGAGCATCACACCAGTCCTCAACATTGCCATCTTCGTCTTCCTTAGGTGGCGTTGAGTATGGAGGTCGAGAAAGGGCATCAGCCACAGGATTCTTTGACCCGGGAATGTGTTTGACAGTGAAGTCAAACATCTTGATCACTGCCACCCATCTGTTCAGGAGAGCACCGGGTATGTCGTTCATTCCTCCATTGAGTTGGTCCACCAGAACGCGAGCATCGGTTTCCAGAATGAAATGGCAACCATAGAGATGCCGCCGAAGAGACCGTAGGGCACAGAGGACAGCGCGACACTCCCTCTTGGTAGCATCGTACTTCTGTGCTGCAACTGTCCAGGTTCCGCTAACGAAACGTGCTGGCTTTCGTTTATCCTCTACCACCTGCATCAGTGCGGCGCCCCAGCCCAACAGGCTTGCATCCACCATAAGAACGATCTCCCCAGCATCAGTGCTGTAATCAATTGAAATGATGACTGGACGAGACGTGAGCGTCCGGACAAGTGTGGCAACAGCTTCTTTCTGTTCCTTCTCCCACCTCCACGCAGCACCTTTCTTGAGAAGATCGTAGAGTGGTCGGGCAATGATTGCGAAGTTCCAAATCCAAGCTGCATAATAGACGACCAGTCCGATGAAAGAGCGGACGTCCTTGATGTCCTTGCATTCTGTCCAGGCCAGAAGCTTTTCCACCTTCCTGTCCTGAGGTTGTCGTCCGCTGGAACCGACGACATAACCAACCATATCGACTTTCACTCGGCACCATTCTGACTTGAATGCTGAGATTGTGGCTCCAGCCAGCTCTGCATTTACAAGAACCTTGTCGAGGTTTCCGATGTGCTCAGCAATGTACCTACGCACTCCGGGAAGGCTCGGAACCTCTTCATCCCCATAGGTTGTTGTGGGACCACGAACAGGAATGTCGTCGAGGAAAGGCTGGCATATATGAGGAATAAGATCATACAGAAGTCTGACCATTATCCTCATAAACTGAGCAACAGAGTTGGTAGCACCCTGGGGTAGAGTACACATCCTGAACAGGCCTAAGGGCGTTGAGAAGGTCGTCATATCCCTGCTGTTAGGATGCAGTCGCACTTGGTCGTACCCGGAAAAGAAGTCGAGCAGTGAAAGAACCTTGCACATGGCGAACTCCTCCGAGAATTCATCTGAGGCAGGCGGCATGAAGGCATCTTTGAGGCTGTGCTTGTTGTACTTTTGAGCGTCATTGATCAGGCGTAAGCCACCATCCTTTTTGACAACAAGAAACCAGTTGTTTCTGTATGATGCATGGCTTTCCTCAATGATCTCCCGCCTGATACGTTGTTTCAGGAGCTCCATCAGCTTTGGCCTGAGAGCATTGGGGATTGGAATGTGCCTCGCTTGAAAGACCTCGTGGGGTACGGTTCTGATTTCTTGCAAGGGAGCCACTTCCTCAATGATCTTTCCAATCTCAGTAAAGTCCCACGCAAGGGCTTTGATCCTGTTTCTCAACATGTGTTTGAACATTTCCTTCTCAGCCTCAGAAAACCCTTCACAGTTTTTCTCTTGCATGGCAGCCCACCGGTCAGGTCTCAGGCGCTGATCAGGATCCAGATCGCTGAACTTGGGTTCAATCCACTCATCATACTTGGTAGGCTTTGTGGATCGCTGAGCTCGTCTCATCTCCTCAACCTTGGCAGGCTTCCACCCGATCGTCCCTTCCGGTACTGAACCATCAGGCTGGGAATCATTAATTGGCTTGACCTTCTTGTCTTTGGGCTTGTAAAGAGTGTTGACCAGGCCTAAGACATCTTTTCTTTCCTTCCCCACACAACGTGGCTGGCGTGAATGGCGCTGGCTGCTGTGCATTCCACACAGGCAAGACCCTCGGGTCGCTCCTTCCTCATTCACCATGGAGCAACCCTCCTTCAACTTCCTCCCCATCAGTTCCACCGTTAACTCGTTCACAACAGCCGCAATGTCTCGTTCAGGTATGGACATCACAGCTGTATCTCCCTCCTCCAACAACACCCACTCTGGGACGACTTCTCCGCTGACAGCCCTGCGTCCCTCAGGGTGGCTGCCAGCACTCAGTTTTTTGGTGTGGTTCTGTGTGAACCCTCCCCTTCAAGGAGTTTCTGACCGCCGATTGTGGTGACCAGTTGTACTCCTCCAAAGGCGAAGCTCGCACGGAGAAATCCGGGGATGGAGTGATCAAAGGAAAGCTTGGTCTGCATCACAAACGGCATTCCTAACAGCACAGGATGATTTGGCGACATCAATCTGTCGTCGACGACATAGAATATCACCTGTTCAGAGAAGCCGCCACAGAAAACATCGGTTTCAAGAACTCCAACAAGCGCCATATCTGATCCATCGTACGTGCGTGAGATAACATTCGATGTTGGCACATAAGACAAGCGCATGCTCGAACACAGAGAGAGAGCTACCAAGCTCATTTCGGCACCTGTATCCAGCATTGCTCGTACAGGTTCATTCTCTTTACCTCCCAGCTGCAGAGGGATGTATGCCACCGGAGCGATGCTCCTATCTCGGATGCTGCTGAGAGCAGTCATGGAAGCCGTCACAGGAGGAAATGAGGATTTGTTGAAGGCTCGAATCATGTTAACAGTAGGCTTGACATAGCTAGGTTCAGCAACAAGAGACAAAGCTTGAACTGCGGGTGGTTGAGCCAGTCTCGAAAGGTACTCAGTAATGTCCCGAGTGTTGATAATCTGACCATCAATAAGCCCTTCAGGCTGGGAAAGCGTCGAGATTCCGGGTTTATGCTGCGATGAATTGGCTGATCCAGCAGTATCTACCTTGTGCAGGTCCGAGCCGGTTTGATTGTCGAGATCAACAACTTTTCGGGCTCCAGAGCTGACTCCTTGAAGACTGTGAATCAGACGGGCTCCCCATCCTGGTAACATGACTGTCATCTCCCGGCCTGAGACCTTCAACGGGTGGTCTAGGAACTGATTCAGGAGCTTGTCACTAATGGCCTGAACTGTTGGCTCTCTGTCCAGACTGTTGGATTGCTTGTTGGATTCCTCTGGTCCAATATTCCCGAAATGTGTAGGGACCTCAACAGTCCTCACACTTGCATCTCCTCCAACCTCACCATCATCATACCCAGCCTCCCCAACACGGCGCTTCTTTGCTTCACCCGCGTTTACCTGGGCTTGGACAGGCCCAACACCCACAGCATTGATGCTGGGAAGCTTTGGTAGGTACAGTTCGGCTTGGGCTGGAGTGAGATATGACTTCCCCACTTGAATCTCACCAGCATTGCTGAGGATCTCAATGTTGTTGGTCCTGTACTGATTGTTGCGTCTGGGAACGGGGTCGGTCTCTTCCCACAGTGTCTTATTCTTGGCCATCTCAGGGTCTCCACGCCATTTCTCGTCCTCTTGGACCAGGCTGACATATCGAGAGATCCAAGGATCCTCAACACCCTTCAGCCGCTGATCCTCACAGAGACCGAGGATCAGACGGATCATACCGCCTTTGGGGTTATCTCGAGCGGACATGACCTGGCCATATGACACTGGTTTTGACCTAGAGTCCAGAAACTCCGAGCGATTGCCAAGATGCCACTCTGGCTTCGCTAATGCTGGAGCATAGCAAATGCCACAGTCCATAACAGTACGGAGTTCCACGCACTCATGAGCTCCATGGGACTTCGACCCACAGCCGTAGCACCTGCGCAGAGTTCCGTCCTTCTTCAGGATTTCATTGATCTCCGCTCGCCATGCTTCAGAGTACTGCTCCCCCTCGTCCTCCGGACTTGTGTAGGTAACACCCATCTGCAAGGAATTTGCATTCCCCTGGGGAGGATTCCTCGCAGAAACAGTTTGGGGACGCCTGATCAGTTGTGAGATCTCCTGTAGAGCCTTGGTTTGGTCATACGAGACATCCCGCGTCTGTCTGAGAGCATCAGTCTGCAGCTTTAAGGATTTTGCCATTGCAATTTGGTCAATGCGGAGTTGCTCCATCATTGAAGCCAACTGGTTGTATCCTTGGTCGCTCTTCTGAGCAGGTTCAGCCTTCAAGATCTGCTTAGTCGGTTCAGGCTGAGCTTGCCAATCACGAGTTGACTGTTGAGGCGGTTGATAGTACGATGGCCCTACTGCTTGTCCCGACGGGTTCATCGGTTGACTGGGAGCACTATGCATCGGATGTGGAACAGGAACGGGCCGTGTCTGGTCAAGGACCGGCTGAGGTGGAGGCATAGGAGGACCTTGGAATTGAGCCTGTTGATGAAGTTGAAGGTTGGTAGCACCGGAGGCAAGTTGGTCTTGAGTCTCCTCCTGGAGTGCTTCACGATGAACCTCCAACAGCTTTTCCATAAGGTAAGGCCACTTCTTGTCGCTGACGCTTTCGGCAGTAACACCATGGTCAGCTCGGAGGCGCTTGATCCAGGTCGAAGGGAGCTTCATCCATGCTTCTGCCACAGGTTGACTGTCTCTGATCTTAAGACGAGTGAGAGCGTTGTCATAGTCCACAATGAACGACCAGAGGCTAGCGGCATCGGTAATGAAACGGTTGTTGATGATGTTCAGGCGCTCCTGCTCGGGGGTGTACGCCTGGAGATGGTCCCAAGGGCGATAAGCAACCAACAGTCGCTCCTTCTGTTCATCCCAAGTTTTGGCGCTTGTAGTGAATCTCTCCACTTCTCCGGCAACGATTGTGTCTGTACAGAAGCCTTTCATGAAGTTGAGTGCTTGAGTGTCATCAATCCCTTTGATCTGACGCCACCAGTCGAATCGCTTCAGCCACGAGGAGACTTCCACACGGGCAAACAACGTCAACCCACCACCAGCAAGCTCACTGTGGGAGGGGAACCTGAAGTTCTGACCATAGTGGTTGTTGGCCAGGTGGTCGGCCGAACTGGGTGTCTGATTGGAAGAGCCCTCAGACGTGGAGGCCATCTTCCCTCTTGGTTGTCGCTTCCTCCGATGTTTCTTTGCCTTCCTGGTTCGAGGTCCTTGAGTTGAGGGCGCCACAGCCGGAATGCCTTCCGTATCCTGCGGAAGACAATACTGTGGAGGTCGAGGGGGTTCAGGTGCTTGAGGGAGGTTCAGTCTGTGAGTGGAGCGTGCATGAGGTCTGTCTTGTGATGAACAACAAGGGATTGAGTTGGCTGTTCTGTGCTGCACTGGGATTTCCTTTATCAATAGTCCTGCCAACCAATGGAGGCATTTCTGACCAGGTGTAAGGCGTCGATTAAAGTTCGACATCGGATGATGTCGTCGTAATCCTCGACCTCTATTCCTCGTGTGCACTGACGGTTCCTCATCTTCACCTCCCTGTGTCCTTCGCTTTTGGGATAATGCAACCAGCAAGCTTTTGATCCAAAGGATCAATGTGGCCAGACGTGTCCAGGTAGAGCGTGCTGATCGGACCATCGCAAGGAGCACAGACCTTGTTAACCATGCCACTTTTCTCTGCAGAGTACCATCCACCAAAAGCATCCCACTCTGTAATTTAACCATGGACCCACATCCGACATGGTTAAACTTTCCGCTGCAGCCTGTACAGGTCTGAGCCGTATCAGCTTCTGTATAGGATCGTTGATTGATGTGGGAAATGTTGGAAAAAGGAATTCGTTTCTTCGTAATATTGGCCCGCGGGCTCAACGCATCGTTCACCGGCCCACGACCAGAACTCACACCACTCCTCCTCTGTCCACCCATCTCCCCTCTACGAGAGGTCTCAGGCATGACCCAGAGTCCAGACATGATGCACAGCCTGTCGTGTAAGCGTGATAGATAAAGGAAATAAAAGAGCTCAGCAGGGAAAAAGAGTGCGCCCGTCCATAGGGTAAACTTGCTGCTCTTACTGATCCTCACGAACTGTAACGCAAACAGCCCTGAGCTACCAGCCTGAACAGCTAAGTCCACACTCACCGCACCATTGAACCAGAACTAGGGCGCCGTCGCCCTCGAAAGAAAGAGGGACAAACAGCTGCCGAAGCAATGGGCAAGGGCTCATGCAACCCAAGCGTGCCTGTACAGATGAGGACAGCAAACTAAGGCCACACGGGCGCAAGAACAGGGTGAAAAACCTGTCTTAGACCTGTCCAAAGGGTTCAAAATTGAAAAGAAGAGAAAGGATGCTTGATTGTTGCTTATAGCTAAAGAATTTGAAAAGTGGGTGGTATCCTTTATATGTATGAGGACCCTTGACCCACTGTACTCCACGTCCCACGGACTACCACCCTGGCCACCACAACAGCGGAATTCCTGTTCTTCAACAGCTTAAAGGATTTATTCTAGCTCTTTAATAAGGAATTATTTGTATTACATCTTGTTTGAGAAATACATTCTGCAGCTATAATAGATACAGGAAATCCAAGCTAATTCGTAGTATAGATTGTAAAGTAAGCTAATTGTTATAACCTATTCAACATGCAGGTCACAGAACAGGTCACGAGTAACAGGGACTAGGTGTTAAGGATTCAACGTCCTAACAAGGCATTGATTACATAACCCAGGATTAGGGTTACTATCGGATAGATACAATCGACGTTTATCTCGTTGATGAGGGAATTGATGGAGTTAATATCGATCCTGTTTATCCGAACTGAAGAACCAAGTATATAAAGGTTTATATTTCCTACTGTTAGATGGATTTTCTTCAGATAATTCTTCAGTTATTAATCTAAGTATTCAGTTTTCTATACTAAGTAGCTTCAAAAGCAGTAAATACTTGCATTGCTTATTAAGACTTGTACAATTCCGTATTCAAGATCTTGATACTTCAATACTGCTCTTATTAGCATAAACCTTCTCATATACTTAGGAATCTTCGAATTGCTGCAGTACTTATTATATTTTGATAATTCTTGTTCAAGAACGGTTCAGTATTATCCCTTGAGCAATACGGAATACAATAGCTTCTCTAGGAATCTCTTCGTTCTCGTATACTCCTACTCAGGAAGAACTGATTAATCAGATATATCAGCTTATTCAGCGTATTCAGGATTTGCGCGAATAATAGCAAGCTTAAAGCGCTATCATTGCTAACCAACAGGCTCAGCTAGCTCAACAGGCTCAACAGGCTCAGCAGGCGCAGTCTATCTCTGCGATTACTAGTGGCGCTGGAAAAGCATATAAGATGAATAAGCTTGCTATATATAATAGCAATCAAAAGATGCTACATGAATTCCTTATCTACTGCAGGGCGTATTTCCTGCATTACGAGACTCAGTTCATTAAGAAATCTGAGAAGATTATTCTTGCAGAGACTTGTTTCGAAAAGGATGCTCTTATTTAGTACAAGCTTTCTCTATACAATTACTTGGAGCATTAGAATAATTCTAGCATATATATCCAGAGTACTAAGAATATATTCGATTTCTTTGAGAGCTTTGAGAAAGCTTTTAAGGAGATTTTTAATGATTCTAACGAAGAATGCATTATAGCTTAGCAGCTTATGAATCTCAAGCAGACTAAGTTAGCTTTAGCTTATATAGTTAGATTTAAGCAATTTTTAGTACAACTTCTGTAGAAAGATAAGAATCTTATGGAATATTATTATAAGAAATTCAAGAATAATATTAAAGATGAAATCTTTAAATAGGATTAGCTGAAGAACTTTATAACGTTCTCTAATTAAGCTATTTGCATCAATAACTATTTGTATGAATGATGGATAGAGAAGTTCAAGAAAGAAGAAAGCTAAACTTGGAGATTTTCAGCTAATATAAGCAAGAAACTTTAAAACAAGAATAATAGTTGATATAGCAATATAGCTTAGAGCAGCATTATACATGCTGATTTTATAAAACTTGATACAGCTAATAAGCAGTATAGCAAGAGGAATAGCATTACTTGCTATAACTATAACAAATAAGAATATATTGCATGCAACTGCTATCAATTCTGGAAGAACAAATAGCAACTAGTTCAGAAAGAATGTTAGATGAATGTTGCTCAATAACAGAAATCCAATCAACTAAGCAAAAATACTCTCTTAGAGCAAGTATTGGATTCTATTAATTACAGAAGTCTTAGCTGAATATTCTGCTATAATGATAACTGCTTAATATATCTCTCGAGTAAGAAAGATTCAGAATGGTTTTCTTAGAAACTTAAGCGCTATAGGCAAATAGCAATAGCAGAGCGAGAGTATATGCTTAGCATAACTATAAGCAGCAACAACTCGGACTGCTCTGATATCACTGAACAAAGCATTCAGGCGCTGAAGGAAGAGCTTAACAACGATGCTCTTCACTATTCTTCATCATCTGTATCAGATATTATAATCAGAGAAATGAACAAAGGATAATATCCTCTTAGTTATTAGTATAAATATCTGAATAATACTGAAAATGCTTCTCAAGCAATGGAAAGATTAAGCCAGAACGAGCGATCCAACAGTTTACCAGAATCTCCTGTGAACAATGAATTCAAGAAATCTACAGAAAGATTCCCCTTCAGTATTGGATGGAATAAGGAAACAACGGAGATTGAATATCTCATCTATAGAATAGAGCTAGAGAAGCTCTTCATCTGCATCCTCTTGCAGAATATCAAAGCATGAGAAGATGAGAATCCTTGGATCAGCTCACTTTACAATCTATACTATGAACTAGCTTGGATTTCCTGTATCTATTATAGCTGCAGAATGCATTTCTCAGACAAGATGCAATACGAATAATTCCCTGTTAGAGAATTAGAATAAATTCTTTAAGCTATTGAAGAATAGAAATTCTGCTTCAGGAAGATTCTCAACAAGCAATATTACAATACATATATCGGATTACTGAATAATTGCTCTATACAATGTATAGATAAAAAGATAGAGTAATAGCAATACAAGATAATATTCTGCATAATTTACATTAATAATAAAGCTTGCAACTAGCATCAACAGAAGAAAGACTAGGAATAATAATGATATAAGTAAAAACAAGCTAAGAAGCTTGCTTAAGAAGCAGCAAAGCAAGCTTAGAAGAACAAGCAGTTTTTAATAAATTCAAAAGAATAGGATTGCTTGTAAAGAGATTGCAGATGATTAGATCGGAACAGTTCCTATGTAAAGCTTTCAGAATAGATTATGCTTATATTAAGTTCGATATATATATTCAAGAATACAAGTATAGCATACTATTGAATAGTAGCGCTTAGAGAAACTTTATATTTCTATATATTATCAATCAGATATAACTACAATAAAGATAGAAGAGATATTCATATACTCTTAGTATTGTAGAAGAATAATCTGTTATATACAACCAAGAAGTAATTAATAAGAAGACTGATTATCTATCTATCTTAATCCAAGAATGTATAATTAGAGCTTTCTTTGATATTACAGATATAGCATAGTATAAGCTGATTATAGAACTTCTATAGCTTAAAGAGTATAATTCTCGAATCAATTGGACTACTAGCTAGATTTCATGGGAATAAGCTATATTCAGAGAGATAGTTACAATCAACAGCGCAGAATTGAAGCTAGTAGTTGAAGAATATTCAGAAAAAGAAGCTTTATACAACTTCTCATATACTTTCAAATCAGCAGAGCTAGCAGTTCAAGAAGAAGAATCTAATAATAAGCAAACCTAAACAGTGCTAGAGTGCTAACAGATTAGCAAAACAATGGAAGCGAGATCCTCAGCAAGTCGGTTCGCTTCAGAGCAATAAGGAAAAGCTTCAGAATGTGGATTGTAGAACCATATAGGAAAAACCTCGAAACCAGGCTCTCGAGCGCTCAGTCCAGCTCGGAGCGAACACTTAAGACTCTCAAAAACGTTACCAAAAACAACGAATAAAAAGAAGCATGCTCAATAGTACCTACTATTCCTCCAGATAGCAGAAATAGTACAAGAATTAAAACTAATACTTGCAAACATACTACAAGAATATTACAAATTCAAGAAACTATTTCAGAAAAAATTAAATACAGAATTGCTAGAATACAG